CTTGAAAGACTCCAAGCTCAGGAGCACCATCCATGAGGTGCCCATAACGGCGGGCCGCGCAGGGTCTGGGTCTGGGGTACCAACGTCATGACCACCCTGTGCTTCATAGCCGTTCTCCGCATATAGCCCTATTCGTGAAGATAGGTAAGACAGGACTTCCCAAGCCCATCATGCGCTCCAACATGTTCCGTGGAGTTCACGCCATCCGCCATCACCGGAGTTTGGAGATAGCAGTATTAGCAGCCAGGAGTCACCGGTCGCTCGAAAAGCCGAAACCAACCGTTGGGAAGTCGGGGTGTTGACACATCGCCCCCGATGGAACCCCCAAAAAACACCCCGACGGGAGACGGTCGCCGGGCGTCGCCTCGTGTTCTATCACTAGGACTTGGCGCTTCGGCTTTTTTGCGCTCCGTGTAGTGTTCGCTGCAATTTCCAACACAAAAACAACACCAACATGGATTGTTGGGCTCCCTGATGTGAATCCAAGTTGGGGGCTTTCATCCTTTTTCGACTTGTCATTCTCTTGTCACCCTCCACCTGTCCTTCAGCCCAGAGAGCCTGGAACTCAACAAAGCACAAAGCAAACTTACAAAACTATCGGGTTTTCATGGTTCAGGTTGGTTCGAACATGCCCATGACCTGGTCCTGAGTCATGAAATTGGCAGTACACCTCTTGGGTCTCCAGGTCGCCAGGTCGTCCGACCCAACCACCTCAACCTGTCAGACCGGAGGTGGAGACTCGACTGCTGCAAGTGGAATCCGGTTCGCTCCTGGGTCCTAGAGATGGGACGATCGCACAGGTGGGACCGACCGGGAAACGGGACATGAAGGTCGCGAGTCGGGGGGGGCGAGGCGAGTCGGGGGAAGCGGAGATGGGTGTGGAGTGATCCCCAAATGGATGGTGGCACGGTGTCCAAGACATTTTTAGTGGGGTTGGGGGCCCCCCAAAAAGAAGAGGGTGCGGCTGGTCGGTACCCGTTCTTTTGGATTGGAGGCTTGGAGAGGATGAAAAATCATCGGGATGTCGAGCTGATAGGATTTCTGTGGACTGTTTTTCTTGTTTTTCGTTTTGGGAAGAGGATAAAATATCCGGATGAGCGGAACTCATTCCAGAAAGGCACTTCTCCCAGGTCGACTGGGAGGAAAAGATGCAGAAGCCTGTCAATCCTAAAAAACCAAGCATGACCAATCACCTGACCTCATCCTAAGAGCCTTAAGAACCACTGAAGCCTCATCAAACGTAATCCTAAGGCTCCGGACTCCCCAGGACCAGTGGACTCCCTCGGGGGTCCATCTGTGGCGAGCAAGCGCCAGTGCCAGCGCCAGGACACGGTGAAGTTGCGCATTCGACACGCCATCAGCGATGCAGAGGCCGACGGGGGTCAGCTGGCGATGTTTCATGTGAGGCCAAACTCACTCGCGGGGGTCAGTCTTGCTGTAGATGGAAGTTCCAAAAGAAGGAGAACTTCGACCCTGCAACCGTCACTCAACTGTCCAGATTTTTGGCCCACCTGGTGCCGTTGCATCAGATGGCTCAGTAGACCTCGGGAGGGGTCCCAGATTCTGGGAGTCCCCTCCACTGAATGTTCTCAGACCTCGCGATGTGGTGTGGCTGTCATAGGTGCGCTTGACAGTCCCAGCGGGCTCGACGATGGGGGACATCTTGCAGGCCGCGAGGGGGGAACCTGGGACGGCCTGGCAACTGGGGCGGGCGGAGATAGCATAGAAGGGGTTCAAAGCTCAACAAGGACAGGAGTGTGACAGGGGTGTTTGTCATGGATCCCTCCCATTTTCTTCTCCCAGGATCGGTATGAAACGAATTCCAGGTGAACTCACCCTCAACTCATTCAGCTTGGCTCAAGGACGCTACGAACGGGGCTCTTGGCCTTAGATCTACGAACGGAGCAAGGACGATACGAACGGGGCTCCTGGCCTTAGGACCTAGGATCTACTAGGAGCACGGATGCTACGAGTTCCGGGGCTCCTGGCTCTGGTTTTCCAGGTGTTCTGAACTTGTCTCGTGGAACAGGCACTGGCCAAAGCCGCCAGGGCGCCTCAGATCGCCTGCCTCCGCGCGCAGGGAGGTTCGGAGGTTCGTTGGAGGGTTCCGACCTTCCAAAGAGCGCAGGAAGTCACACCCTTCTTTGGGGCGGACCTATAAGAGATGGTGTGTGTGGGCTGTGGGTTCTTTTTCTTTGCATGTGGACCAGTGAGCCAGTCGTCAGTTGTTGAGTTGGTTGCCAGTCGTGGACTTCATGAGCCCCCAAAGCATCCCCAAAGCAGTCAAACCACGAGACATGGTGTGGAATCTGCGTTCAGAATTCATCCAGTCACCGAACAAGTCCATTCACCCTAGCCGGAGAACATGGGGATCGCTTCAGTGAAGGAGACATGCTTGCTTGGCTCAGATGCTTGGTTCAAGGGCTGGGGTGAGGAGGCGATGCATGTGACTCCTTCCCGCAGTCCGTGGGTCTCCCGGCGATGGACAAGGGATGGATGGAAGCAGTGGAGTGTGTATTGGAAATAGGGAAACCACCTGGCAACAGGCTGTCGTCATTTGTGGTCTATTTGCTTTCTTCCTTAGTGCTGTGGAAGAGTGATAAGGATCAGGTCGCCGGGTATTTTTAATGTTTAACAGGGAAACCACCCTGGTGTGGGTGGCTAGACGGGTCTATTTTCGGAACCTTCCTTGCGGTCGTTGCCTGGGAGGTCTGATTACTCTAGTACGCACACACACACACATGTTCTTAAAGATCCTTGGAACGGCCTGACTGTAATTCGAAAGGAGCATTGATTCCGCATCGGTATAATGTAGTGGCGAAGTCAATTTCGAATGTGTGTTTTGTCCCTCTCCCCTCAAGAACTTTTTGCCCGGAATGCACTGAGCATCTCACAAATGAGTGTTGGGCAGCTCTGCCGCTAGAACTACTGAACTGAAGTATGTACTGGTTTGTGAGCTCGCATACCTCTCTCATCCTTTCTGGTCATTCAGTACTCTCTTTGAGCCTGTCAAGTGTGTCAATCCCAGGGGAACTCGGGTCCTCTCATGTCCTGTCAATGCAATAGTACCGTCCACCTCGGGAACGAAATCGACAGAAACGCGCGGGAGAACCGCGAGGTTCTCGGAAAGGTCTTGCAAAGGGTGGTGTAAACATCCCACCAAAAGATCCGTCGGGACATCGAGCACAACCCATTGGTTTTCGAGGTCTCCCGACTAAAATACATACCCAAATGTTTCAGCGCGGTGAGTCACTGAAAAGACACGGCATCAGCAGATGGCAGCTGGGAAGCGTTCGCCTTCAAGTACCATTAAACGAAAAGGTTGAGCTGGTGTTGTCCCAACATCCGCAGTAGAACCGTTCTTTGCTTAAAGATCCGCATCTTCGGGGCCGGAGTTCCACCGGAACTCCCCCTTTCACCAAGCCGGCCGGCCGGTAGACTCCGCTCCGACGCCGAGGCATGAAATCCATCGGGAAGATCTTGGTTCGCCCCTTCAGCGGCGCGATCGAGCGGTCCGTCCAAGACGCCGAGCCCAAGCGATCGCTCTCGCATGCGCCCTCAGCGGCGTGGCGAAGAAAAGAGGGGATTGGATCGAAGCAAATGGGTGTGTATAGAAATAGGGAGACCTGCCAAAGACACCCTTGAAGGAAAATAAAGCAAAAACCATTGGTTGGAGGTCTGCCAGCCTCCCTACTAAAATACACACCCAAATTTACACCCGGATTTTTCCAGGCGAAAGTGAACAGAATAGACTACCAGGGCGAAAGGGGCTTCAAGTTTGACCCACAGCCATATGGTGTGCCTCCTACGGCTCCTAGTGCACCCGCCTTTCTTTGTTTTCCCCCCCCTGTGTGAAAGCTGCTTTAACACAGTCGGCGAGACCCAACACTTGGATATACATTTGATATCGAATTTGTGCATCGCTAGGGACATTCATGAGGTTGTGGGGCCGAGTTGTCCCTTTCTTTTCGCGTTTCGCATCGGACGGTCCAGACATAGAATGGTATACAGGACTCAGGTCCATACATACCAATATTCTTTTTTTGCAGTCAGTACTATCCTAATCTATCCTATAGATGTTGGAGACGCATCGATGCATCGTCGGTGAGCCTTGCCACATCGACATCCACTGGGTTGAAAAGGCACATCGAACCTGTAAGGCACCACTCCTGAAGGGCAACGGCGCCCAGATCAGCCAGAAGCTGAAGCCTCGCAGCCATGCTCCTCGCGAAATGCCCAAGTGGCGCCTTGGAACCCCTCAAGATTGGCAGGGTTCGGTGTGTTGCTTCAGCTGAGCTGGGAGAAGACCAATCTAGACTGTTGATGAATCAAACCACCGCATTTAGACTGTAAAGCCTCTTCAGAGTGGGTTCTTACCAATAACAGTACTACATTAGAATGACAGAAGACAACTTACTCATACCCTAGCTCTTCATGCCCGTCCCGTGAGTGAAAAAAAGTCTTCCAGCTCTGCTGCCGTCCTTGCTAGAGTATTGGTGACCTGTAGGGCCGAGGGGCTCGGATCAACACACCCAAAAAACCACAGCAGGAGGCTTTGAGAATGGATCAACATTCACCAGCAGCACCGGTGATTGGTAATTGGTAAAAGCTGCGTGAGGTGCCGGCCCAATAGGATAAAGTCGGATAAGGTAGTATAAGTATAAGGCATGATTAAAAGACACACATTTGCTTTCTTGCTCGATGCAATTTTGGTGGCTTCGATTCAGCAGTTTTGTCTTACAACGGCTGCTTTGGCCTTTTTGCGCCTGCTTTTGGGAGACTTGCAGAGCTTCCTTCCTAAGTAGATTAAAACATGTAGCAACCCGCAGATGGGTTTGGAAGAGGCAGATGCGCAAGACTTTTGAAGGTGTGTCTCCCTTTAAGTCTTCAAACTTGGGGTGTTCCGAACGTTTATCACGTCACCCGGTTCGTGCGATCCATTCCCGTGCACTCCGCGTGACGCGTGACACATGCGTTGTCTTAGGCTGGAGCATGAGCTGATGCAGGAGAGGTATGCAGAACAGGCCCATGAAGACTGGCGCCGAGATGTCTCGCATCGTCTCACTCAGATCCGGCAGAAGCCCCGCCTGCCACATGGCGCAACAGGCTAGCAGACGGGTTGGTGTTTGTAGCGGCAATTGTTATGGACTGGGTGCGGGTTGGAGGGAAGCAGGACAAGCACTCTCATGTTTTCCTATTAAAACCTCTGTAAATGCAGGTCATAAAGTCATACTACACATTTGAAATCACGGCTGGCAACACCTGCCAGTTTAATCCATTCACTTCGACTTGATGTTTTTCTTTTTTCAGTGTTTCACGGAGTCACATTGGGTTTCTGTTATCTGGGATGTTCTACGAATTTCCGATGGGGTGAAGTATGAAGTGGAACCTTTCCTGCTTGCTGAACTGTTTGACTATCAATCAAGCAGTGGCACCAGCCGGGGTTCCATGTGGTCTTCCGCGGCTGTGATGTGGAGAAAGACAGACCCAGGCAGCTTCCGTCTCTTTTTGCTGGTTGCAGCTTCGTCTCCGTATGGGACCACTCCCCATCTGTCCATCGACCAAGCAATCCGCCGACCACGGATTCCCACGGACCAGAGTCCTCAGGAACGATGCGTTGAACGTGTTGGTCTATCAGCTGAAGCGAGACGGCCTGACGGAGGCGACACCAGACTGAGTGCGTCATGCCCAATCCGCACATCTACTGTTTGCCTCTTTTGAGTTCAAGGTTAGAAGGTGGACCTGGACGTTGGGAGGTGTTTGACCCCTCAAATCTTCGAAAAGCCGTGGAACGTGCTCTTGCGCACTGATTCCTTTCAAACGAATCAATTTCGAAGGGTGGAGATCTGACATGGGCTGATGGGCGGACATCGGCCAGCATCGGTCACCAGCACGACACGTCATCGGTGAACTTGATTGCTGCCAAATTCATCAAGCCATGGCTTGAACTTCTGTCAAGCCATGGCTTGATTGCAGTCCCAAACTTGATTCCAGACTGCTATACCAAGCCATAACTTCTTCCGAAAAGGGCTTCAGAATCCGATCCTGAAAGCTCCCGCTCCGCCACTCCGCTTCCAGGCTGCTCCCCACACGAGCTGACAAACGAAAAAAGCGCACCAGACGAGAGGACCCCCGGCTTTTTGATGATGACTTTCTTTCCACACCAGTTGTTTGAGAGTATCTTCCTCAACATCCTCAACAAAACCCTCTAAAAAAAAGCTTTGTCTAGCTTTCTTTCTTTTGGACTAAAGTGCCGATTTGGAGTGCTTTTCTTGGGGTTCCCAGATGATCCCACTTATCACCCAAAACGGACCCTCAACTTCCCAAAACGCACACCCTCCAAACCGCTCGAATGCCGGACACCTCGCATTGCCCGGTGGTCGCGGTGTCCAGGGCGAACTCTTCGAGCGGATCGATGCCAACAAGGAGCCGTTTGAGTTCCGTGGTGAGTTCGGTTTTTAGCGGTGTATGTCATGGTGTGCCAACATTAAGACTTTTTTTTTGCTGAAAAGAACACATCATGAAGCATGTTTGTGTTAATTTTTGGGGGTTCTCCCATTTGCGAGGGTAGGAAGTAGGAACCTAAACAACCTCATCTCTTTTTGCATCGAGGTGTCAGGTGGGTGGGTTCCTGGATTGGAGCTGGGCGCCGATGCGAAGCGCTGCGCATCTGCGCAGATTATGTGCAGGATGGGGAACTGAGCAAGTCGGAGCTCCAGGCGGCGGGGGTGAAGCGAGTTCGAGTTATAGGGTCCTTTGATGGTCAGGTTATAGGCCTCTTGGCCAGCTGGTGCTTCATACCTAGGGCATTCTAGAGCATCCCAGGGCCGCCAGGTCACAGGCAGGATCTTCTTTCTTCCGAGAGCCATTGAACTAGGTCTTGAATGGTCTTGAATGGTTTTAGAATTCAGGGTCAGCGGGTGTCCAGTCAGGTTTAGCCCTTCTTCTCCGATGGAGAGAAACATCAGCATCGATGAATCAGCGTTGTAAGTCTCTAGATCCGTGCCATCCTCACCGTTCACACCGTTCACCCGGAGACTGGTTCACTTCGCCATGGAACAGATTGGTCACTCAGCCAATGTCAGCCATCCCCAGCAAAACCAGCTGCCCCTATCAGGTGCCCACCTGACTGTGAGTCAAACACACAGGATTGCGGTAGACAGTGAAGGGTACCGACTAACCCCACAACAGAAACCATCATGATTGCTTTTTCTCTGAGGTCTCAGCATCGTGGATTGCTTCCAATGCCCAAGAACTTGGGTAAAGGACAACCTTTTTTTCTTTGCATATGCCATATGGTCGAAGCCAGTAGCAGCAACATGCACCTAATTAAAACAAGCCATTGTGGAACGCAGGCCCTCGCCCAGCTGAAGCATCAGTTGAACTTTCGAGCCCCTGCTTCCAAGCAAACAAAACAACAATGGATGCAAGACTTGACTACATCCTCGGATAAGTCGAGCAAAGGTGGGCTTGTGCACCTAACGGCTGAGTATGGTCCTTTAGCCATGCGCTCGCACACACACCAAACAAAAATATAAACGGGAACAGCAACATAGCTGAGCCGCCGCAGTCAGGTTTGGAAAACAAGCACGGAATTTCAAATTGCATACGTGCCACGGTATTCCTGCGGGCGCGCGCGCGCAGGCCATCACATTGGCACTTCCTACGCCCTGCGCACTCCTCGCATGTCCTTCAGGTAATCTCCGAAGTTTTGTAGAGTCTGCATGTACTTCGAGTAGTCTCCGAAGCTTCGTAGGGTCATTTGAAAGCCACCAGTCAAGGTGTTTTCACTGCTTGTTCTCTCGTTGTCCTCCATGTACTTCGAGTAGTCCCTGAAGCTTTGTTGGGTCATCTGA